TTCACCGTAAATCCTGGATCTAAGGTTCGTGCCAGTTAGTATTCGTCATCAAGGCGTACCTACAATTGACAGGACTTAATCAGTACTAAATAACTAGACAAACACGATATTGTTCATTACTCAATGATCAAACAATTTTTATATCTCTATCCTACAAAAAGTCGATTATGGTTTAAACGATGCTCACAAGCATCATCAGTTCACCCAAGACTTCAAATATTTCTTCTTGATAAGTCCTAACTAGCAAAATGGTTAGTTCCGAGGTATTCTGTTGTCTATCCCATAGTTAACTAACTGGAATTAGTTATGTAGTGAACAAGAACACGACTGAGGAAAATCAAATGTATTTGACACGTAATTACAGAGCATCTCAATAAAATCTGAGAACCATATATAGTAAATCGTTAATTTGCAAAAAATATCAATCCATCATATCAAACTTGAGTGTTCCTGTTGTAAACATCAATCCATTGTTTCAGATTTCATTGTTCATGCATTTTCATACTAATTGCATTCCGTCCCATTCCCGTCTTTTCGTCATCGACCTTCTACTGAAATACATTCTATGCCTGATCACTGTCATATACTACTTATGTAGATATAAGTAACCCGCATCACAGTTATACTATCTACTTTACTAAAATCTCTATAACTATAGATCATTTTAATCTTTATATTCATCACCAACTAATGATCGTTGAATTATAGTTGTATATTTTGAACATTGACAATAAATATTACTCCTATTTTTCTAACTAAAAACTATATTTCACTTAATATTGTTTACTTATATCTTCCCAACGATACTAGATTCGAGTCCCGAAGTAAACAGATACATCTAGTTGATGAGTCCTAAATAGGACGAAACACTCATTAAACTTCATTCCACTCCTAGACACCATTCATCTTTGCTTATATTAAAAAAAAAAACAAACTATATTTGTTGTTTATATACAATCACAAAATCCCTATCCTAAACATGCGCGCGCCCGCTTTATGCGAGAGAGAGAGAGAGAAAAACCGGTTTTTTGTTTGTTGTAACAACTTAAAACGTACATATATACAATTCATAGAAGTACTTTTAGTGAATATGATCCTTAATTCAAATGATTTATATTTTTATATATTGAACTATGAAGAATGTTTCTATGCAACTAACTTCCTTGATCGTTTTGTTTATTATGATGATTATTATTGTTGTTATGTAAATATAAAGAAGCCTATTTTCTTCTTGATTCATACACAATTAGTTGACATGTGATACTATTGTGTATATCATATGATCTAAGCATAAGATTTGTGAAAAAAAGCAAAAAAAAAAGAGAAAATTACCATCATTGATCTCTTCTTTGAATCATAGATCGGTCTTCTGATTCTTCCTTCCTTCCTGTGTGTGTCTGTTTATGTGTATGTTTCCTTTTATTGTTCATTGAATTATTTAATAACTGAATTCATGAGTCAATTAAAGCTAGATCACTATGAAAAACCTGGAAGCACTAAATGATTGTTTCGTTCTAATCTGGTATTCTTCAGTATGGTGTTCATCCAAGATCTGCTCATTAGTAACTGACTTCAAGATGTATTTCCTATAGTTCTAATGAGAAGTCGTTACCAGTGAAGTTCAACCAGATCTGTTGTGAGGTGGTGATTCACTGAAGACAATGGTGGATAGTGGCGCAATTTCGTGGATTGGTCAAAGTTGGACATTAACACCGTTGAATGCTGGCCTGCCTAGTGGTCTATAGGTTTAGCATTCTCATGAGAGACTGAAGACCCTAGGTTCGATTCCCGCGAACAAGATCGTGGATGTAAATTGCTGAGGAGTCCCCCAGTAGGACAAATCGGCCGTTCATTGGGTACAGGTTTTTAATGGTGTTCTAACATCAATCCATTCATGATCTTAATCAGAAACATGATAGTAATCCGTAGTTTTGGATTGATCATATGTAATCAACCAAACAAGACTCGTATTGAATTCGAATTGTAGAGTTGAATTCTGATAATCAATACAAGATGCCATTTAGTTAATGCTGTTTAGTTAACAAATATTATACTATTTTACTTCCGATTTGATTAAGTTCACAAATGATTACTTCCTATCTACAATCCCGGAGAAAGTCATTATTACATATTTCAATGGTTAAGATCATGAGTCAGTTGAAGCTAGACCACCATGGAAAACCTGGAAGCATTGGACGGCCGTTTCGCCCTATTGTGGAACTCCTCAGTAGTGCGCATCCACGACCTCGCCCCCAGCGAGATTCGAACCGAGAACCTACTGGTTTCGTGCGTGAGCACTCACTGAAGACAATGGTAGATGTGTCTCTCAATTTCGTGGATTAGTTGAAGTTAGACATTAATACCGTTGGATGCCGGCTGGCTCAGTGGTCTAGTGGTTAAGTGCTCACGCGCGAAATTGTAGGTCCTGGATTCGAATCTCGCGGGGGGGGCGAGGTCGTGGATGCGCACTGCTGAGGAGGAGTCCCACAATAGGACGGAACGGCCGTGCTTTCAGGTTTTCCATGGTGATCTAGCTTCAACTGACTCATGATCTTAACCATTGAAATTATTATAATATCCACAAAACCCATATGATATATATATATATATATATATATATATATATATGTTTTATAGAAATACCGACCTAATCATGTGAATTATATTTACCGCATACTGAAATTACTCATATTTCAAATGAACCTTATGATTTTGTCATTAGTTGTAATGTATTAAAAAACAACTTTTAATATTAACAAACAAAGTAATTCTCATATATCGTTATTCACATTTGATTGATCACTGGGTGATGATTAATATCATGTATGTCAAGTCCTTCTTAGTGTAGATCGAATGTTATCGACTAAGTTGCAATGTGGCCACTAGTCTAGGTGACTCGACATTTTGTGTATTATGTTGTGATAGAATAGTGGTGGTTGGAGGTAGTCAACAGGAAACCCTGGACTTGGTTTTCGTGCTCTTTGGAACTCGTCAGCAAGGTGTACCTGTAACATTCGATATTCACTAAAAAGGACTTGACATACATGACATTGATCACCACCCAGTGATCAATCAAATGTGAATACATCTCAGTCCTATAGGAGGTCAGTCTCGGCCTGGATAGCCCAGTGATAACGTCTGTGACTGTGAAGCTGGTTGACACGGGATCTAATCTGCCAGGGAGCACCAGTTCCCTCAAGATAACAGGTACAACTTACTGACGGGTACCAAAGAGCACGAAAATCCGGGTCCAGGGTTTCCTGTTGACTACCTGCAGCCACCATCTTATCTCATATAGTTATTGATTATCGATAAGTAAACAATCTTTGACAGTTATGTAGTTATTTATTTTATAATTTTAGCAAATGGTAGGGTTCGAATCTATGCTTTAATATTTGAACACTGATTATTTAATGTCAATAATCTAGTGTTCTTGTTGGTGATAATTTGTCAGTAAAAGGCCCCCAAATGCCCTGGTGCGACCGAGAGTGGGGAGAATCAATTCATTACCTCGAAATGTTCTCATGTGATCACGTGCCTAAAACCACTGATAAGGAGGTCATTCTCACTGCCTCCTCGCGGCATTGTCGTTGTTTACGAAATTGAGTGGACGAAAAACGAATATCTGATGGTTTAACCGGGTTGGTGGGTACAGAGGATCCGCCTAGGGTAGTTGGAAAACCCTCATCCAAAACCAATGGTGTATATGGGCTACAGGATCCTGAAGCATTATGAAGGCGTATGAATGAATCATTGGTGACCGCCTACCATGTGACTGCATCTTCTTACGTTGCTCCACTACCTTGTGGATCAGACTTCTTAGTGAAAGGCTTTGAGTGTGGCCTCCAAAGAAAACCACCTACTTCGGTTTCAGCACCCGGGCAGTATCACAGCCCTCACACAAATCTAATGATTTATATGGTGCATATCTGCTTGGTGCCTGCTTGTATCAATATTTATGTGTTTAAATTAAATAAAATAAATAAGTAAATAAATTTTAAAACGCTCCTTTAAGGGTATGTCTTCTCTATGCTTCGGTAACCTGGTCCTTGTAATTTAAACCTGTTCGACCTATCTCTTTAAAGAATTATTCACAACCAGTAGCGATATCACGTTAGTAATTCCTAGGTCTGGGAATCTGTATATGATCACAATAGCAATAGTTCAACCTTTACTACCATAACTAGAATGGGTTTTGTGGAGAATTGGTAATTTCCATAGTTGAAATCATGAAGCTGGACCACCATGGAAAACCTGGAAGCACTGGACGGCCGTTTCGTCCTAGTATGGGACTCCTCAGCAGTGCGCATCCACGATCCCGCCCCCCGCGGGACTCAAACCCAGGACCTATCAGTCTCGCGCCAGGCGCTTAACCACCTTGAAACACTGACAAATATCACACACATGGTTTTCATGCTACATACTATTTATCGGCTCTGAGACTGTGTAGAAAATGTAGGAATGTAGTCAATTTATCACATTACCTTGTATAAAGGACTTATATCTATCAGTCCATCATGAATCATCCGGTTAGGGTCACAGAGATGGTTATAATTCACTGACTCAACAGCTTACATGATTTTTTAAAATAATAACTTCACACTACTTCATTTCTCATTATTCAACCACTGAAGCCTAGGGTAATAACCACCAAGCCAGGTTACTTGTAGTCCAGCACAAAGTCAGGTGCATTCCATATTCAACCACTGAAGCCTAGGGTAATAACCACCAAGCTAGGGTACATATAGTCCAGCAAAAAGCCAGGTGCATGCCATATTCAACCACTGGAGCCTAGGGTAATAACCACCAAGCTAGGGTACATGTAGTCCAGCACGAAGCCAGGTGCATGCATCATCATATATATTTCTCATCATTATTATATACATATTTCTATCTATGATCTTGTAATCCCCTTAAATCTATATATTACATACATGTATTGCTTTATTATTATTGTTGTTGTTTTTATTCCCCCTTCAAATACACACATATACATATAGGAAAGTATGCTCAATGGACGTATACATCCAATTGGACAAGTTGAAGGTTTTTCAATTGAATTAGGCGCTAGTGGTTCATTCTATCCAAATCATATACGTCTTCCAATAAAAGCATATTTTTTTAATTTATCTGATGATAATGCACCATCACCATATTTAGGTTATGCTGATTTAAAACAATTACCTAATAATAAAGGTTATCATATACCAAAGAAAGGTTCTATTCAAGTAAGTTTATTATTGTTTATTTGTAAGTATTATTTATTTTAACATATAGATATTGGGATAAGAGGGTGCCAAATATATATATATGCGCCACACAAATCTCATTTGATGATATATGTAAGGGCTATGATACTGCCCGGGTGCCCAAATCAAAGTAGGTGGTTTTCTTAGGGAGCCACACCCCGAGCCATTGACCTAAAGATCTAATCCACAAGGCAGTGGAGCATCATAAGGAGATGCAATCCCATGGTAGCCGTTAACCAACAATTGGTTCATACGCCATTTGTTCCTTCAGGCTGGATACTGGAGCCAGTCCATGTGCATCATTGGTTTGGGATTCGGTTAAAGCGCGGGACATTCGCTTTTCGTCGTCTCATTTTGGTAAACAACACCCTGTTGGTGGGAAGGCAGTGAGTAGGACTTCCTTGGTAGAGTCTATATACGTGTGGTCATGTGAGAGCATTTGGAGAGGGAGAGTGGACTCTCCACTCTCGACCGTACCAGGGCATTTGGGGGCATAGATAGGGTGTCGTTGCCAGGTTATTATCAATCAATCAGTCATTTAGTTAATTAGATAGCTAGTTATTTTGTTTAGTTGATTCATCTAATTCAATATTCAATGATACGTTAATCATGAACTATATTGTCTTAATTCTTAATCTTTTCTAATAATCACTAATACTATTACTACTTCTACTACTCGAGGATTTGCTTTGATAGTTTCATCACACTATACTAATAGGTTTATGGTAACTTGAACCGATGTATACATATATCAGGTTCCATGTTGTGATTAACTGACTAACTGTCTGACTCCTTTGCGCATAGATCAAAAGTAGCATTAACTAACTGCTGGGATCACCGGGTAAGTAATAGTGAGGTTAGGTGCGCAGGGTATTAGGGAATGATGGTAAATCAATTGATGTGGTTATGAATCTTCATCGACTGAGGTGGCTGGGCCACGTGTTGCGTATGCCTGAACACCGATTACCACGACGTGCAATGCTAACCGGTGTTAGGGATAATTGGAAGAAAGTTAGAGGGGGCAGCCAAACCAAAACGTGGCATCAGTGCTTGAAGTCACTAACTTGTGGTCTGAGCTATGTTGGTAGATGCAGATTACTTGGTTAGGGTCCGCGTGACTATCGTAACCAATGTTTGGAAACTGTTGGTGACATGGCTGAGAATTGATCACAGTGGCGTAGGTGTATACACACTCTGTCTTCCCTTAAACTAAGAGATTAAAATCACTTCATATCTTTCTTCGTGTACTGTATCTTTACATAAAATCTTTTTTTATTTATTACACCATTGAGTGAACTTCTATGAATTCGTCGTTCGTCTTGCTGTACTAGTGAAGTATGGCAACTTGGACGGATGCATATATGTTCCTGGTCCTACGTTGTAACTGACTGACTAACTAATTAACTTTTAATTTTAAAATTCGCATAAGCTTTAGTCAGTTAACTTAGTGACTACAATCATATTTGGTCATAACGATTTCAAATGGACCCGTCCGTAGCTGCTACCTTGACGTGGTAGTCGGGCTTGTCTATATTGTTGATCCAACCGAGCTATATTGGCTGGAACATATGTTCCTCTAGGTTCTACCATGCCAGTTGAGATGGCTGGTATATGTATTACTTATGCCTAACTACCGACTTCCCCGACATGCGATGTTCAGTGATGTAAGAGTAGGTTAGAAGAAAGGTAGGGGCAGCCAAAGCAAAACATGGGACAAATTCATGAAGTCACTAACAAGTGGATTGAGTCATGTTGGTAGGTGTAGACTACCGGGTTGGGATCCGCAAGACGATAGCAATCGATGGTTAAAGACCTTGAATGACATGGCTGAAAATCATTTGGAATGACACAGTTGCATCCATTCTTTGTGTTCACCCGAATTCTAATCTTCTGAATTCTTCATGTCCCTTATTTTTCTCTTTCCAAATTTATTTCACTGGATTGTACTCGTTGAATAACATCTTCAAACCCTAATGTTTCCGATTACTACTTATACTCTTATTACCTCTATCACTACGGAATTTGAATCGACTACTTCATCTCTTTGCTAATGTGGTATGGCCATTTGAACTGATGTACATATGTACGAAGTTCTACGTTGTTACTGACTGAATGATCTATAAATTGCAGCATCCATTAATATTGTTACGATTCTAGCCTCATCTGTTTACGTTGGGGATATTCAGTTAACAAATGAAGTCACTAGTATAGAATATTCAAAGTACAAAACAGTATTAGTTAAAATTTACAAAGATCAGCCCTTGTGGATTGATGTCTAATAAGATCATAGCACCGACCTAGAAAGTTCACTTGGCCTTTATCAAGTTGCATTATCTATGATGTAGGCAAGATGTTCTTCCAGAAGCCGAGTTTACTCCACAGCAGTCCGCTCTTTATTACTGTATAGTTGTGAAACATGTTCTGTTCGTTTATAAGGTATGTTCAGGTTTCAGGTCTTCGGTCATAGATATCTTCTAAACACTGATCGCAATATTTTTTGATGTCGAAGTAGGTTGGAATGAAGTTAGGGTTGACCAAATTAAAACATGACATCGAATCATAAAGTTATTGACTATTGGTCTAAACTCTACTAGTAGATGCCAACTACTTAGTTGGGGACTTTAGTTAGTATGACACTAGTGCAAATGTATTCACTTTTTTTTTGATTAAGATCATAAACCGATTAATGTTAGACCATCATTGAAAACCTTGAACCACTAGATGGTCATTTCGTCCTATTATGAAACTCATCAGTAATGCGCATCGACTATCTAGCTCGTGGGATTCGAACCCGGAACCTTCGGTTTCGCCAACCTTGGATTGTTTTGTACACACACACACCTTTTAATTCTAACTTCTTAAACAATATTTTCAGTGTTCCATAGTAACATACATATTATTCCTACACTCTATAATGATGATTATGACTAACTCATGATCAACTATTCGATCTAGATTCGTTCTAGATTTTCAATGATCGAACAGTACACACTTCATTTCATGTTTATATTTATTCATTCGTCATAAAATAACTTAGTAACTAACTGATAAAGACTCATATTCATTAGTAATTAGGTATTATTTATATAAATATGGAAAGCATATGATCTTCATCTTGTTTCGATCGATCCACTTTGAGTGTTTGTATTTTGTTTGTTTGTGCGTGTGTGTGTGTGTTTGTGCAAACAAAAATGCAAAAAGTCTTGTGATTTTATTGTTTTGTTTTAACATTTAATGTCTTGATCTCTAGAGAGGGTATTAAAAATTGTATGTATTGATCTATATAGGTCCATTCGTATGAGATCACAATATATGGTTCCATAGACCTGGATAATAAAGTGTATTCATATTGTTGTTATCAGTTATTGAGATAAAATGATATCAGTAGTATAATTCTACATAAACATTGATACAAGGAGGCACCAAATAAATATGCGTTGTACTTCATTATCCGAATTGTATTGGAATTGAGATACTGGCCAGGTGCCCAAACTGAAGCAAGTGGTTTTTTTAGGGCACCACATCCAGAGCCTTCGACCTATAGGTCTGATCCACAAGGCAGTGGAGCGACATTAGGAGATGCAGTCTCATAGTAGCTGGTAACCAGTAATTGATTCAAATACCATTTGTTCTTTCAGGATCCTGGAGCCCATGTGCACCATTGGTTTGGAATGAGGGTTTTCGTTTTTAGTCCTGTCAATTCCGTAAACAACATCCCCGCCACGAGAAGGCAGTGTGTAAGACTTCCCTGTTAGTGGTTGTATGCATGTGGCCATATCTATATATATAATTCAATAATTGAATTCATCAGTTAATTAAATCTAGATCATTGTGGAAAACCTGGAAGCACTGGACGGCTGTTTCTTTCTAGTATAAGACTCCTAAGCAGTGCTCATCCATTATTTTACACGCTGTATTCGAACACCTAACCTCTAGACAACTGAACTGGTTGACGTTCAACGGTGTTAATGTCTAACTTCATCTAATCCACGAAATTGTACAACCGTCCACCATTGTCTCCAGTGAGTTACTATCTCACAACAGACCTGGTTGAACTACACTGATCTTGGCGTCTCATTGGAACTCTTGAAGCCAGTCACTAGGACGAAACGGCCTTTACTGTTTCCCAGTTTCCCATGGTGATCTAGGTTTAATGGACTCATGAATTCAACTATTACATTACTACAATCTCCACAAAACCCCTTTTTGATATATATATAATTCATTAAACTTCAAATGGGTAGATAATCAAGTTATCTTTTTTTCTATGATTACTACTGCTAAGTCGAGTTATTTGTAATGAAGAGAGGGAGAGAGAGAGATGTTTATCAGTCTATAGTTTCCTTCTTGAATCGGGAAATTAGTATGTTATAACGGAGGGAAACTAATGTATGATTGTTTATTAACAAATCGATCAATTGATTATCTTAATACTAGACCAGATTGTGAATTTAAGACAATTATGAGTACTTGAAGGTATAGTGAACTCCTTTGCTTATTGTTAGTAGAACAATAGTTTATTGCTTAGTGACGAAACATTTGGCTTTTAACCAGTTATTGGCATTAAGTAACAACTGCATAGTATTGTAGTTGACTCTACTGAAAAAGATGTCTGTAATTGGCGTTGAATTCACAACAATGTTCAGATGAAGTGAGGTGTTTCATTACTTCGAAAGCACGGCTATGACAGTTTATCACTTCTTTTTTTTGTGTGGGCTGTGATACTGCCCGGGTGCCCAAACCGAAGCAGGTGGTTTTCTTAGGGGGCCAAACTCCGAGCCTTTGACCTGAAGGTCTAACCCACAATGCAGTGGAGCATCGTAAGGAGATGCGGTTCTATGGTAGCATGTGACCAACGATTGGTCCATATGCCATTTGTTCCCTCAGGCAGGATACTGGAGCCCATGTGCAACATTGATTTGGGATTCGGTTAAAGCGCGGGACATTCGCTTTTCGTCCTCATTTTCTTAAACAACAGT